TAACCCTCAGTGCCACCAGGACTGAATAACCCTATAGGACAGGGTATACCTACTCCATAGGATTTCCAAGGGTATAAGTCTTTTTTTTTTTTTTTTGAGTCTTGCAATAACAATTTATTTTAGAAGGATCAGGAGAAGGCTGGTTCCTATGAGATGGAGGTTAGACATGTCTGTATTACCATCCTATAATTCCTGCTTCCAACCACAATTCCTCTCCTCAGCATTCTCTCCCACACCCCAGAATTTCACAATTGACTACAATGTCTCCCAGAACGCATGGGCCATCAAGGAAATGGCTAACAAGGTTGTGAAGACTGGCAAGTCCCAAATCTGTAATTCAGAGATCAGGCTACAGAAACCTCCTCACTCATGTGGAACCGGGCTGTTGACACACAAGGCCATGGAAGCGGGCAAATCGGGAGAGGTGGCTGGCTCAAGTACCAAGAAATGAAGGTCAGAAGGAGGCCAGCTTGGTTAGTCAAAGAACAGAGCGTACAACTCCCTCGCATCATCAAGATGATTCATTTCAGACCAAGCAGGATGGCAAAATTGGCCAAGCCCCTTGTTAGATTTCCAAGTTTTCAAAATCACAATGAAGCCTATTTACAGTCACTCACAACTGAACTGTATAATCCTATCAGCATTTTTGCTCACCCAGATCCATCAGGAAAAATCATTTGGTGGGAGTTACAAAGTCATGACTAGAAGAGACAGATTAAATAGTTCACTGTGCTGCAAGTGCTGACTGTAGCATGTCCTAGTTATTTACAGATAAATTAAAAAAAATTTTTTAAATATCACTTTCCTTAATTGCAAAATAAGAGTAATAACACTACCTTACTTCTGGGTCTTGTGAGGATGCAATGAGATAATATATTAGAATCTCACGATATTCTGTTTGGAAATGGGAAATGGTCAATAAATGTCAGCCATTATTATTCTTTATCTACATAGGAAAGTGTACAAGAAAGTCAGTGTGCTGTATCATTTTCTTTATTTTGTAGCTGAACTACTGATTTTTCACTTACATCAGTTTTGTCTCCTGGTGTCGGATTAACAGCTGGTTATCCAGAAGTACAGGTCAGAACCTAAGGTGTAGGCACCTGCCTGGCCACTAAATAAATCTGGTTTTGTGTACTAGGTGTTGGCAAGTAGACTTAAGACCAAGAAGTCAAAATATGTGATCTGATGTTTGCATCTCAAGTTCAATTATCACTCTTTTTTCTCTAGCTCCAAACCAATCCTCTTTAATTAAGTATTATCTAAACTGAATGCATTATCTAACCCCTACCCTCTTCCAACACTCATGGAAGCAGCAGTCAAGAGCTCAGAAGATGTATTGCATTAGGCAAATCTGCTGCACAGGAACTTTTTAAAGTGTTGAAGAGCAGAGTTGTCAGCTTGAGGGCTAAGGTGCACCTGACCCAAGCCATGGCATTTTCAATAACCTCATATGGATGCGAAAGCTGGACAGTGAATAAGGAAGATCGTAGAAGAATTGATGCC